AAAAATTCAGGTGCTTTATGGGAACAGCGTCTCGAGATCGGTTGCCATGGCGATAGCAAGTATTAGATGCCACGTTGGTTGCCATGGTTACTATTGTATGACTGGTTGGGCGGTTCCCATGTGAAAGTGCACAAATGCATCATAAATAAATTTCGCTATTTGTTTAATTGATGTCAATCGATTAAAGTCGGATTTCATGCCTCAATGAAGTAATCGGGGCTGAGAGGGCGAAAAGGGTATTAATCAGCTGACATGCAATGAAGCCATGCAAGAGATAAGAGAACCCATTGAAACTCGAGAATGCTCCACGGATTTCGAGCTTTGATAAAACTTGGATTCGTCGGCCCGAAAGAGACCTAAATGAACTGCATGCTCGTCAAATCTAAGCGGGATTGCCGAGGGGGAGGGGGGGAGGAGGGGGAGGGAGGGGGAGGGGGGGGGGCCGGTGGCACTTTGTGTTCCACCAATAGAGCAATATTGCTCCAGCGTTGGGGCAATATTGGGCTGATAAATTGTGTTACTGCGGAAGCGATTGGTGAAGAAATCAGAAGAAAAAAAAAGGAACATCTTTAAGATTTTCTCAATTTACATCGTGTTAATAGGCGGAGAGTTTCACGAATGAGAAATGGATGAAACGGCGGAAATCTGCATCGCAGATATACGATCGTCAAGGTGGAACGGATGACATTTCCCTTAAAAGCCGCGAAGCAAATGTTTACCCACGACGAGAGTGAACCTCGAAGACTGCCATCACGGGTGCATCATATTACGAGCGATAATATTTCGTTGACACGGGAATCCTCAGAGACAATGGAAACAATAGACGCTCGGCCGATTGCATCCAGGGCCTTCGACGTTCCCGGCAGATCGGTTTGCCCGAATGCCCTAAAGCTTCTTTCACTGTATTTACTCGGGCGTGAGGCGCATAAAAAAAATTATCTATTCGGGGGTGCGTCTGATGCTCCTGGAAGTAAAGCCTTTTTGCAACAATTTTTTTTTTACGCAATGGTATCCCAGCGGTCACTCGGAACAAAGGGAACGAGAGAAACATTGGAAACAGAACGGCGTCGTAATCGGAGTCAAGCTCCGAAGATTCATTCGAGGCGCGATCGGAAAGAAGCGAACGGTTTACAAAGTTACCTCTACGCGGGAACACAGTGGCTAGGACACGACTCGTTGTTTTATGCATTCTGTCACTTCCTTCTCGATCTCGGGATTTTTTTTTTCCCGCGAAAGGCCTTGAGATTCTCGAGCACTTTCATTTCGCCTCTTCCTTTATCCACTTCCTAATGCAGCTTTCCCCCCGATGCGATACGGCCTCCGGGGGCGAGCGCCGAAGTTCGTCGCTTCTCGAATCGCTCTCGTCTCTCCTGCTGCGTAGCCACGGCATGCTTTCCCCATTCTCGCGGAGAACGAAACAAGTGTCTAAGAGCTCCGATACGGTGTGACTAGAATGTGCCCCGTCTCGCTCGGGGTAAGGACAACGAAAGGAGATTGAAGTTCGACAGACCTCATAGCCAGCTCGTCCGGTTTCCTTCTCCCCGTTCAAGCATGTGGTTCCGCCTTATAAATGGAAGATTTAACATAAACACACACGTACACAATTTGGACGTTTAAAAGTGGGGGTGCGTCTTACATACGGTGGTGCACTCACTACACACGAGTAGATACGGTATTTCCCCCTTCCCGCCCCTGATAAAATCGGACTGCAATTTCTGATAGAGCAGAAGCTAACGTGCACAAGCGCAAATTCCCATTTCGCGATCGACAGCGAGACAGAAAAAGCCAAGCAAGGAAACGGCATCGATGCGACGTTCGTCAGCGGATGAGGAAATTCTCGTTTGGCACCAACACGAAAGTCTCCTGTCTCGGTGAAGCGGACTGACGGAAATCCTTGTGGAAATCCATTTGACGTGACGGTTTTCGGGGTGCTGTTTTGTTTTCTCAAGGGGGAAAAAAAAAGAGTGCGGTGATCTGTCTCTCGTGACTGCATCGAGAACGTATTGGAACGTAAAGACGTCAACAGTGAAAAGATAAGTAGGGATCGGATTGCTTCGTGCTTCGTCGAATTCCGCGAATGTTTACTTCTGAGTAGGAAGCATCTCGTTTTCTATCGCGATAATATTGTCATGATAATCGGAAACGAAAAGCCAATAAAATGGGACGGATTGCTTATTGCAGTCACAGTTGGCCTGTCGAAATGCTTCAACTTGAAACTTCCTTATGCTTACAGTGGGACTGTTCCTGCAAGGTTTTCACTTTGGATCAGTTCGATGGTGGGAGATGAGCCACTTGAGAAGTTTTTTTTTGGATTTATTGACATCTGTTTAAGATTCGCCACTGCTCGCTGATATTAGAAGAATAGAAGTTTTAGATCACTTCTCGGTGAAATCTTAAAGAAATTTCGGGAAAGAGCATGGACAAGCTTTAAAAAAAAAAAAGGAAATCTCATATCATCCTTCCCGCATTACTCCAAAATACTTTCCGCTTACGACGAATGGATGATGAACGCGGGCACAAATTGAACCACAGATTCGACAACAGGTCAAAATAAATCCCCAGAGATCCAGTGAAAACTGTCAAATGCCTCCCCACAAACCTAAATTAAAACAGCGGAATTATTCGCCATCATTCAAGGTCTAAGTGAATGCATGAATGAGTGCTCGCGACGAAAGAGCGTTTAAGATTTTCGGGCAGCGCATGACTCCCCCCGTGCAATAAAATACCTATTGCATAATTATCACGGTTTTTTCGATAAATCTCGCTAAATATCGAGACACCCATGCATAACCTAGGTAAAAATTAAGGCACAAATGAAGGCACGGATGCATATGAGGAGAAGCGCAAGACTGGAATGGATTCCCCGCGGTGGAGGTGGAAGGATTCCGGAGGAACGAAGAGCAGCGCATGCTCCCCCTTCCCCACAACACCTTCTTGGATCCGCCCTTGCACGAAGAAGAGGGAAGGAGATCCTGCGAGGCTCGATCAGCCACTAAAGGGGGAGGGACCCCCTAACCCCGATTCTCAGAAAAATACCATCCACATTTCCGGAACTCGTAAACGAAGCGAGACCAGACGAAGTTATTATCGTCTGGGATCGCTGTATTGTCAATGGCCTGGGCTGGGATTTCGATCGAGAATTGCCTTCCTTGCCAAAGGAGCAACGGCTGTTCTGCATAATGCGATGCAGCGAGTTCCGTTGCAAGTGACAGGTGCCCGCTGGACTCACCCTCCTGGTGGTCCTTCGCAATCCAATCCATTCGACATTCACCGAGAAGGAGCTAACCCAGCGACTCCCACGTGAGAGAATCGACGTGTTCCCCATGGATAAATAATTGAGTTCATCCCCCCGATAATGGATTCCGTGCAGAAATGTCCCAGAGACAAACGGGAGCGGCTGCATAGCAGGCTCCCCATTTTATACCCTCTTCTTCGGCCCCATTCGACACAGGACGATCCTCCTTCAGATGATGATGATAATGGTGATGATGGTAGCGTTGGCCTTAAAAACTCGACGCATCGTAAAAGAAAACGCCGTCATCAATTTCAAGAGCCTGAAGGCAAGGAAAATGGAAGTAATCATACGGAAAGGGACGCAGCTGTGAACTAGAGGGTCTAACTCCCTGACTTTTTTCAGCCCGTCTGATCATGACAGTTTCAAATGGATGACAATATCTTGGCTGAAAACAACTGAGAATTCCTCGGTGAAACGTGTAAGTAGAAGCAGACGCAAGAACGGGAATCATAAATCTCTTCCGGCCTCATATGAGGAATCATTGTCACATGCCGTAATCTGGCAGAAGCGGAACAACATATGGAGCTCGTGTTTTTTGGAAGAAACCATTTGGAACGGGGCTGAGGTGCACGTGAGAGGAAGTTCTGATGATGGAGGGCGGGCACGTTCCTTTTCAGCCGATTGTTTCCTCCAAAATCCAGGATATTGCCAAGATACACAACAAACGTAGAGAGAGGCAAAGAATCCGCCAAGACATCCTCCTCACCAGAGGGAGAACGAGATAGACAAAAGGAGAACTGATGTGAAGGGGGCCGCCCATGGAGAGAAGGAGATCTGACTGTCTCTATCCTCATTTATTTCCGTCGCTGCTGGATATTGGAAAGGCAGAGGCTAAGGCATGAATGAATGAAACATCGACCATCAAAGACAAGGAAGATGGAGAACAGCGGCGATCTATCGACAAAGGACCACAGGGAAACGAAAAAGGAGGAAATTCCAAAACGCTTGTTTCGGTGCCTGCCAACTTTGAAGTGTCTCTCAGCAGAGCCCATTCAGAGTTAAAACGGAGACAGAATTTCCTTCTTTTCACTAATGAACGGTAACAAGAATACAATGCATAGCGTCATATATGGTTCAAGGTTTTGGATGAATGTCAACTTTCACAGCAACGACTGATGAGCTCAACGCGCTTGGCTAAGTTGGAAACATAACTTACGATCTCACCTTGAGAATGGCCTCAGGCCCATTCCCGTAGATGTGAGAAATGAAATTAGTTTAGTCGAAGATTCTTTTGTTGGCAGAAGTTTGGAGTAGACGTAATTTGAAAGGACTGGAGCCCACTCTTGGCAAACTCTTCCTTGAGGACCAGGATCATGATGCGATACAGTAACAGGACAGAAAGCAGGCACATGGCTTTGTGTGCCTTGCTTTCTCCTAACTCTCCAGGGATATCCCATCTCACCCTTGTCATGCAAGTGACGCCCATGAAATCTTTTGAGTATCTGTACTTTTGCAAATCCCATAGCTTCCCTTGCACAAGTACGATTCGTCGTTGTATATTGACAATGAATTGCATCGTACATCATGACGCAGTACACAGTAGACTTTGAAAGCAAATTATCAGCTTGGAATGGATGACACACTTCATCTCATAATAATGAAACGGAAGGTTTTTTTGGGGGGAGTCTTGGATGAAATTGAAACATCGCTACGAAGCTAGCATAGCAATTTATTATTGGAAAAGAAATGATAGCAAACAAAAGCAGCTCATGAAAAAAAACTACCTGGCCTCCAATGACAGCTTCTGGATTCAAGGTCCTAGGAAGCAAGGCGATATTGTGACTTTACTTTCGGACAGTGTATAGACTCAGAAAAAAAAATAGCTAGTAGAAAAGCAGGTTAGAATGCAGACTTTCTAAAATGAAGTTAGTCACTACGCTGATTGGAAATTCTAAGCTATACCAGCAGAACCATGAATGTTACATTCAAATCGATTCCTGTTTTGCTGGACAGAATGGTCAGGATGTTCTATTCATGCAATGAGCTATTGAATGCTTGTGAGGCAAAAAGATATGGCATGAAGAATCTTCATCAACCCATGTCACATGGGCTAACTTACGAGTAAAGCAGTAGTCCATGAGGGATGGGAATCCCTTCAACCTTCGAAGCAAAAAGCAATGCTGAGCCAATGTTACAGGACATGTTTGCTGCCACCTGGGCACAGGTTGTTTCATGAACTACCCAGAAAAATGAAAATAAAAAACTGCCCTGAGATCAGTCATTAAAAGCTGTATAAACACATGCACACCAAGCCAGCAGTTTCACCATCTGCTATGAATAAAACACATTCAATGCTTCTTCAAACATTCACAGAGACAAGAATGCCAATCACTGGAGGAGGCAACTCTGTGAGCATAATTCAAAATCCATTATAACAGAAACTGCAGGCAAATGAATCACAATGTGCATGTTGACTCAGGAGAAGTATCAAGAATATCACACTCCCATGTCCAATGTTCAGTTGAGTTAATTCCAGGCCATTGCATCACAGAGATGAGAAGTCACATCAGTGCAAAAGATCAGATCAAAAATCAGATTTCATCATCATCCAGGCCCTCTTCAGGAAAATCTCCCACCTCCACAGAACTTGGTTTCACAAATGCCCCATATTTTGGTGGGCACTCAAAGTACCTCTTCCCTTCCACACTAAAAAAATAAAAAGTCTCTTGATATTACAACAAATGAAATGAATGAATTCTTAGGTACCTTAGATAATGGCTTATGCCTACCTGCCATCATTCTTCCCAAGAGGTTCATCATACTGCACTCCAATCCAGGTACCTGATTGGAAATGAACTTCCCCTATGGAAAAAGCCATAGAACAAATCAAAATGACTTTTGAAGGATAAAATTTAAAAGCATTGAATAGTTCTAGACATGAAAGGGGGAAAGATTTGTTAACAAGAAAAACTACTGACAATCCCTGAATGACTCTCACACTTTACTCAACATTGCCATATTGAGCAAGAATGAAACTTTTCCTAGAACTGTAGCAAACAGGAGAGCCAGAGGGCATGGCTCCTCAACTGAAAACAGGCAGCATAGAGGCAAATCAAAGTTTGAAATATTGCTCAAATTTTAATTGTATTTCTCAGAATTTAAATGTAAACATCATGCATAAATTACCCTTAACATTCATTTTAAGAGATCCATGATAATACAATACAAATACTCTTGTCTTCCTTGAATTTGACAAGGACCAAGCAAGCAGTATGGATGACTTAGCAAAATTTTCCAGGAAAAGAAATAATAAATTGAACCTGTAAAGCCAACAGGAGATGTGAAAACTGGAAATTGAACTCGTAATTATTATTACTATTACTACGTAATTATTCTTATTATTATTACAGTAATTAGAGATCGACCGATATATCGGTCGATCTCTCATATGAGTGTTCTGGCCAATATGGCATCATCGAGAGGCGAGGAACTGCAAGTCTTTCGCTCTGCTTCTGTTCTTATTCTCGTACACAGAAGTTAGGCGTATTCATGGCTATGGGAACTCCAACGGCTAAAATGATAGACATTCGCCCTGAGGGTTAGGTTTCGCTGATGATCATCTGATAGTACGAGGGCTGTTCATTTAATTCGCTGACACAGGGAGGGGACTCCTGCCCTTGCCCTTTACATTTTAAAATGTTTTGTTCTCCTTGGGTCTCAGGGCTCACCCGATGGCATCTGATCTCCAAAAAAAAATGACACTAAGAAGTGGAGATATATCCTTGAAATTTGGTTTTGGAACTTGTTGGGCAAGAGAAACACTCCAAATCCATAAGGGCTGTTCTCTACATCACATAATTTATTAAAGAGTGCGACCGATATACCGGTTTATCTCTAAGTCGTAATACATATAATTGTTCTTTTCATGGAGTCAATATAGTCAACAAGTTTCCCCATTAGAGGGACTGAACTCTGCAAACCCACAAATCAAGCTGTTACCAGGAATTGGAAGTGTTGATCAACATTATTGTGATTCAAATGGCTTTGCTAATAGTCCAACACTCATGGGGTTGATCACAGTGGGCACAGATCCATAGAATGAGAACTGCACCTGACCATCGGGATATGTCATCACAGACCATGTATCCAAGAGGATATTTGTAGCTGAGTCTGCCTTGCTGCAGACTCTAATTATTAAAAGTTTTGGCTTGTTACAAAGCTCTCTGTTTACTTACATAATATGCCAGCTTTATTCAAGGAGGGGAAAAATTCCAAGCATGGAGCTGCACCTCATGGAGCTCGAGTTCTATGCACATTTATTCAACCACATGGATGACCAATCCTCTGCTGGTCACTTGGTTGTCTAGGGCCTGGATGTATGAGCTTTTGGAACAATTGAACACCACACATTGTGCAGCCCTGTGATAGCTGATTTTTGTTTGTAGGCAGTGAGAGCATGTAAAATGTGAGGTTCGCCATTTTGCCCTTTTTTGACAGGGTCTCCTCTTTCTTCAGGTTGTCCAGATCTTGCAACCCTTCCAAGATCCTTGCTTAGGGCTGATGACATGCTAATCAGACAATGTTCTAAGGTCACATGACTTGGAATATAAAACATTACATCACAATACATTTAAAAGCAATTATAAGTGAATCTGCTTTTAAATTCAAGACCAGTTCCTTGGGTAAACTTAGAAATGTGACCTTTCTCAAGTTTTAAAATTTAATTTTAGTGTGTGCTACTGATAAATACTGTAATTCTGTTCATCTTTAGTCCTCTCCTCTGTTTCCCTCTTAATGATTCTAAACAATTTCAAAAGTAAGCCAACTGTTTAAATAACAATAAAAAAGCTCACATACATGTGCCACAGAACTCACCAATGAATTTGACTATGCCTCTTTTAGTGGGCTGACCAGTAACTTTCACCTCACAACGGCTATTTAATGGAATGTGCTTGGCCTTCTCTTCTTCAATTTTTCCTTTCTCCTTTTCAAGCTCTTTCTTCTTCTGGTAGTCCTCATCATATTTACCCAATCGGTTCTTGGTTAGAAAGGCATGCAAGGTCCCTAATAATGAAGAAACCACAAGTGAAACATCAAATAATAGAAAGCAGTCTACAAATGGTGCAATTCATATCAATGACTCTATTAATGCTTTTTCAAGTTCTCTTTTATCATGTAAGGTGCATTATCATTGCTATGACTTACTTTCCTTTTTCTTGTACTCATCCTCGGACATACGGAATCGAACATCTTCTTCCTCATTTCCTGGCTCAAATTCTCCAGATCTTGTTGTTGGGTCTATCACCTGAAATTAGGATGTAAAGAAATGTTTCAACAAGTCTTTTACTTCCATCAGGATCTATCATCAACAAGAAATTACTCACATGGATTCTCATCCCATTTTCTGCAGATAGAGATCCAAGTGTGGCTAAAGGATCTTCTAGCTTCTGATGAAGGACATCATCTTTCCCATACAACTCAAGCTGCATGGATGTTGGATTGGCTCCTGTAAGTAGCTCCAATTTACCCTGTAGTAAAGAGATCATATTGCAAGTCACATGGGAAGAAAGTAAGAAGTTCATCTTTCAGGTCTCCTGATCATGCAAATTGCTCAGCACCAGTGCAGTTTTAACTAATTAACCACTTCTACCAAATACTCAAATATTTATGTTCTTAATTAAATCTATTCAATGTACCATAAATAACAAGTTACTAAGCTTGTAAAGCCTAGGTATCTAGAATAACCCTAACATGGGAAGGAGAAAGATATCCCTTAAAGGAACTTCATATTCAGATTTCATGCTCAATATCAAATATGGCCATACAGGGGTGCTTTGCTTGGAATGTACATGGTAAAAATAAAAATTATATATGGGAGACTGTATTTGGAAGCCATCCAGTTCATATAATGTTTTGGCCATTCTTAATGAATATGGAGCTATACATGGTTCATATATAGGCCCCTTATATGGTGCTTAGTTGCAATGTATATGGCACATATAACAATTTGGTAGGTTTTGATCATATTTAATATATCGGATATAGGTAACTATAAACATATTATAGTACACAGGTCCCTTATATGGTTCTTAATTTGCAATGTACAGTAGATGGCCCCTGCATGCATTATTAATGGCAGACTGAGGCAGAGTCACTCAGCATTGAAACTTTCACAGGTGTTATTGTGACTCACCTGACAAGGGGAACCTCACTCCCTTTAGAGGCATTGAGCAAGAATTACCTGGAGTCTCCTGAAGATAGGTTACATCTCTTGACATATGCATAGATTAAAATAGCTTCATTCCTTTGGTTTGTACGTGGGAAATTAGCGAGTTGAGGGTGAAAGCTTCTATAGAATCATTCATTAGCATTTGGGGAATTGAGCAACATATAGAGGCGGGATGGGCACAACCTCGATAATACTGTGAGAACTTTATATTTATTGAATGAACTGCTAGATGTCAGGCCATGTGGAAGGCCTCAAGGTGCATGCATGTGCATCCATGGACATTAAGTGAACTGAATAGTTTCCAAATACAGGTGACTCGTTATACGCAGGAGTTGTGTTCCCGAGAATTGCCACATATATTGAAAATGCGTAAAACTTCCACAGCGCCTACAGATAGGGATAGTGATAGTCCCCATGCACTGAAATGAAATTGCAGATATGTGAAAACGTGGATAATGAAAGGACGTATAACAAGAGTCACCTGTATATTCTAAATACAGTATTTTTTCTGTATAGTTTAGGTTAGTGTCATAAACAAATTGCAAACCTAGCACCATATATTGGAGTCTGTATATGAACCATATATAGTTCCATATTTATTAAGAATGGCCAAAACATGATACAGACTGAACTGTTTCCAAACATGGCTAAATTCAGTACTGTATGATCTTATACATACACCTGTCTTTGGAAGTTCCATAAGGAATGTCTATGCAAAAAAAAGGAGAACAGGATGGTAATCATCTATGGTATGACCCACATGGGTTTGTGACCCACCTCAGTTAGACATGTGACCCACACACAAAAATAGGAGGCTAAATTGCAGTTCACTTGAACTGTATTCTGAATTTTTCATTTTCAATACACCAACACACTATAACAAGCAATTTACCTAACCTAACCTAACTTTAGATGCAAATAGTACATTAGATCACACCATAGATCCTGCTGTGGGTCACACCATAGTTGATTACTGAATAGGACTAATCTACTTTCATCTATTTGCAACAACTACTACCCACCACCTGTGGAGATGGGAAAGAATTACAAAGATTAACCAAATATTCCATTGAACTTCAGTCAGGGCTTACCTTTAACTCTCCAATGGTAATGTTCTTCGGAAATCTCCTCTGAGACCGAATACTAGAAACAGTGCTAGTAATAGTGAATTCTATCAACTCTGCACTGGACATTCTCGTCTGGTCTTTGAAACACTCCTAGCAAGAAATATTGAGAAAAGGCATGTAGCTCTAGTTTTTAAAATTGCTTCAACACCAATGAATAGTTCTCTCAATTGAGTCTAATGTGTGCATTAGTTAAGGCCTCAATAGAAATAGTTCAAAATACTTGTACAAAATTGGAAAAAAAAAAAACCTGGAAGAATATTGTTGTGAACGGAGTAAAATTAACTGTCTAACATTTATTAATGTAGCTATGAACCACCTATGTCGAGCCAATAGGGCCTACACATGTTTTCCCCAGCAGTTGACCTTTATCATTTGAGCCCGACGTTATTTTACACCATGGCTGAGCTTCAAATCGCAGCTTTTACACAACAGAAATGTCAGGAAAAGGTGCCATGACTCTTCCGGAGCTTACTTTGGAGTTCGAGCAGTCTGATTTTCCTATGTAGCAAACTTCAAGACACTTCAATGCTCTTCTATAGCGATTTTTATGCCACTAGTTTCTGGGCCTTCCTTGAAAGAAAAAAATGAAATCTCATTGTCCCAGGCTGAAAAGCAGAATCAGATGCATTTCGAAGTAACTTAGGAGTAATTTCGGCATACTTCATGCCTTCATACCTTTAACTTTTAACTCTATTCAAAGAATAAAAACAGTAAGATATAACGCGACTGCAAGGAAACCATGAGGGAGCCATGCTGGGAACGGGCCATAGATGTGCTGCTCCCTCGAGAGGAATCTCTCAACTCAAGTATTAGTCGCTTGGTCGAGATGTCTCGCCCTGTCATTCCTACCAAATGTTGCAGCTCTCTTTGCTCCATGGACAGCAAGCTAACCTAACGTTTGAGCCTCCTGCCAAGTGCATATTAACGCTGTGTAACACGCAGGATTCTATGACAGTATGCCGTACTTCAAAACCCATCCAGCATGCACAGATGTTGTCTTGCAATGCAGCAAAATGTTTACTGCATGCTTTCCAGCACGTGTTGGACAGCACGCTAGATTGAATAAGAACATCACCATTTTTTAAATTGCTGTGAAATATGCGGTACAGTCGATATTGTGTTGCATTTGCTGTTAGCAGCGCGCAGCAGGAAGATGAAGTAGCCCTTACACTGTGGAATGGACTGCAAACGAAATTTAAGCCTTTTCTTGAAATCTGCGAGAATGCAGTGTTCGGTGTCTTGCGCCCTTCGGGAGATGATTAGCACTTCAGTCCTATACCCATCATATGACGGGTATAAGCCATAGCACATTTCTGTTAAATTCCAGGGACTGAATGCGTTAACATAGTGTTTCTAAACAGTCAAAACCGAGCAAGGCGAAACCAAAAAAAATTATTCAGGAAAGCAAGAAACACTGGAATTGAAAACTAAGAAACAACAAACTTGATTGATAATGAAATTCTCAGAGGAACTTGTGAGGTTGTATACAGGCAGTGAAAGCATGAAAATGAGCCTATTTTCATTTTAAAAAATCTATATTGAAAAAATGAAGACTCAATCCTATCAGGCATGGTGGTTATTAATACTGACCACCTTTCCGTAATTTTTCCTTCTTGACCTGCATAGAGGTTAGCTGCACAAACCACCATCGCAGACTGACTAAGTAGCTAAGAATAATATGGTGGACAAATTTATGTATGTTCATTTATTAAAAACATAAATATGCTCAAATATAGTCATTTAATGCGTAAATTAAACTTGTTTTCTGAATAATAAAAAAGCCGTGCTCACGTGCTCGAAAGCACTCCGAAAATTAATTAAGACGGATAAGGGCGAACCGCTCTGCCAGGGACTAACGAAGTAGGCTTAGATCAGAATCATTCTTTAGTCTAGCGCCCTGGTTTTAGTGTCTCATTTAAAAAAAAAAAGGAAAAGAACCATTAATATTCCCATTCTGTAGAATGCGCCTGTGAATAATAATCCCACTATCGTCACATTGCTTTGATCGAGGGTAAAATGGCCACTTGCGGCAAATTCAGAGACAAGCCAAAAACAGGCTTTTTATCGCAAAATTCTCCCACTTCCTCCCTAGAACCCGCCTGAAAGACTAATCGATACGAGGACCAGCCCTATGTGAAGAGGAAGAGAGGGCAGGGAGGGGGAGGGAGGATGCTTCTCCAAACATTCCACCGGCTGGACAGTCCCAATCCCCGTCCCTGTCTAATATTATTTACAAATATATGAAGAGCGAGTTTCATGGCTGGTTCCTCAGACCCTACTTTCCTCATTTTTGGGGGCATCTCAGTAACCACTAGACGTCTGAGCCCGACCCGTACCCGCAATCCTGGGTCCGGGCCCGACTCTGGTTCTTTCTCTTGAGGTCCGAGCAGGTCCCATGAAATAAAAAAACACCCACTCGTGTGTGAAACCCAGGAGAACCAGTTCAAGAGGAGATCCATTGATGTCTCTATCTTGTTTTTATTGTTCTTATCGAGAGTAAAGTATCACATTTAAATACCGAAATGACTAGATGATTATGTCTTCACTTTCCACCCAAAATTCTTTTTTTTACATCCATATATAAATATACTAAATGCATATAACAATGATAAAATAATAATACGAAAAATAAACCAAATACATCGATTATATTTAATTAAATATAATTGTTGCCTGGGCTCAACTCAACTAGCGCTACGGATCCAGAAGGCTTTATTCCAACCCGCGAGTCCCAGGCCGGCTCATCTGCTGAGCATCCTCAGTTCCTCAGCTATCATTTCAATGAAATCGTATCAATCTCGGGGCAAGTCAAACGGCATGGCGGATTTGCAGCGCGTCGCATGGCCATAGTCGTCTGTCACTACGCGAGACCTTGGTTTCATCCTCTTTGATGAATGGACGTTCCATGTATGTCTGTTCCGTAAAAGACAAAGAATTGAATGATGGATTTGGAGGCTGGCTGAATGGATCCTGGGAGTGCCTCGCCTTCCTCGAATCACGCCCGACGGGATGCATTCTCCTCCGCCTCTCGGGCGAGGGGAACAAAATTGTAAGAAGGTAACGCGTTGCTTTTCCTTCTCTCTTCATAGACGGCTATGAATGTATTTTCCGGACTTGGGCTCTCCCATCATGCAATTATGAATTGCCTTCTGTCCCTACTCTGTATGACGCATGTCTCATCATTCACGATCAATTTGCCACCAAACTGCAAAGTCATGTCGATGAAAACAGACCTTTTTCACACGGAGAAATTCGAGGCAATCTGGGCTCGACCAAGACGACATGCATTCTTCCTCCTTCCTCTCTTTCGCGCTTATCTTATCTTGAATAAACGAACTGCACAGGTAAAGAAGTTTTCATGTTTTTCATCGGCGAATGTCGCCTCCGGCTGTGGGCCTTTCGTCACTGCGGGAGGGGGCCATTTTCAAAAGTGATTTTCAGATTGTTGACACTCCGCTTTTTATCCTGCTCACATGGAAATTGACTGGTCGCAGTATAAATCAGTTTTCTTTGTGATATCGAAAAAGCATCTTGAGTGTAAAAAAAAATACTTATAAAAAAATATAAAAAAAGCTAACAATACCTTTTTTTTTTTACTCTGTAAATCCCCTAGGGCAAAGTCCATTGATGGATTCAGTCCCGCAAGTTTCCTTTGCATTCCATGGAACGTCAACAGATTCTTTTACTTCAAGATATTTTATGACATTCCAAAATGAAACTATTACGGTCCAAACCTGCCTCAAACCAATATTCAAGGTCTGATATCGAAATGACAAATTGAATTAAGTCGGAAAACATAACAGCCAAAGATGATGATTTTGAAACCATCAGAAGCAGACAGCTGCAAAACAAATCACAATACCTCAACTTTAATGAATTCTGTTCCTAAAACCGATTCAAGCATTCGAAGTCACTGATCGGCACTTAGTTTAAGCTATGAAATTATCGACAGGATTCAATCAGGCATTTAATGCACGATGAAGAGATGCTGAGTGCCGTGCAAGATGATCCCATCGATTTAATTCCTTCCTGCATACTTAACATTGTGATATTAAATTCAGATCGAATCATGGACTGCTTCATTTTTCTGACAATGTCGCAATTCAGATCTCGTGACTTTCTCAACTCATGATTGGAAATTTTGTCACCTCTGGAACTATCCGACGCGACGTGCATCGCCGTTTTAGTTTCAATAAGAGTGCCGAAGAAGTGAATGAAAACAAAGGTTTCAGCCCGAACCGCGATTTGCCATGCTTCCCCTGTTCTCGCCATTGTCAGATGGCATTGAGTCACTCTTCGAATCGATGAGATTGCATGATCGCGGGAATTAATTACTGGGGTCCATTACATTTGCGATTACGAAGGGGGGAAAAAGTTGCTTCTCATCCTAAGTTTTCTCCTGGTAATTTTTTTCCGTAGGCTATGCAATGAAGAGTTGCTTTCATACCAAAACAGCAAGTTCACGACGTTTATACTTGCTCATTACGCTTGTTGGAAGCTTTCATCATGCAGCGTATGACTAACAACTCTTTCGTGAGCATGTGCCATTTTCCCCCTGGAATTCGCAACAACGAAGGAGAATACCGAAGATTCAAATTCCACAATGAATAATATATAGGCTATAGAGTATATTAGTCATTCGCACCTGCCGGCAAGTACCTGGGGCACTCATGAGAAGTACTCTCCTGAGATAAAAACTGGACTCTAGACTCAGCAGAAGAGCCGATAGCAAGTACCGATACTTTCCGGGCATATGGGAAGAATCGTTTACAAGATTTTCATCACCTTTCTTTACCACTTGAATGCTCGCGAGATAATATTCTAAATTATGAGTTACTTTCACGCGATAGGTCGGATATGCGTGTCCCAAGGTGGGCGGGGTATAGAATATAAATATAGTCAGCCTAAATTTAAACCTGCGATTTGACACGGCAAAATGGTTCATATGGCGAAAGAACGAAGGAGAACATCAGTGTGTGAAAGGGTGGAATGGGGGGGGGGAGACAACATCTTTGGGTTTCCAAATGTCGCATAGCTCACAAATTCGTTACTGGATTTTACGTTTCCGAAACCAAATAGATGGAAGTTGCCCGTATTTATGAGTTCCGGTGATGAAAAAATGGACGAAGTTGAAAGCTGTACCGTCCCCGCGAAAATGGACGATAGACTTCGCACTGACGCACTAAGAGGCGGCTGCATGAGCAGGCTTGCGGAACAATATATATTTAAAAAATTGAGAGGGGGCGGTGTCCTTTCATATTCTGCGTCCCACATATCTAGGCCCGTATTGGCGTGAAAGGGTTCAACCGTCCCGTGGGATTATTGGCCTTCGCGGGACATATGCGGTGCGACAAAGCGGAACCCAGTGTCGTGGCACTCGAAGTGCTCACTTTTCGCATCCTTTTCGAGACGTGAACTGTTAATTGACCTCTGTTCGAAAATATCGAGGTGTCTCTAAAAAAAAAAAAAAGATATTGAATCGTTAATAGCGTGCTCATATGTTGCACTGGTGCAGCGTAATGTCGAAATTGGGGCTATGGCTTCGCTGTTCTCTCCCTCATTTATTCCATTCCGTATCGACACATCGCGATTATGCGAATAGAACTCAAAGGAGAAAAGCACAAACAGTTGGCATGGGAAGGAACACAGATGCAGGTGTCGATTCAAAAACGCTCCAGACTGTACGGCACCGGTTTGATTACCGAGTAAAAGTAGACCATCTTGCACTTGGACCTGCGATAAGTGCAAGCGAAACACATCTGCAAAAAAAAAATAACCTGCACTGATGTTGCGCCGTGAACATGTGCACACAAATGACGTCTCTCTTGTCAACAAAGATTTCGAGAAGGACTCGCCTGCTCGTGTTGATGACGTCGAAATGGCCTCGGTCTGGAACAAAGAAAAATAGACAATGGAAGACTTGATGCCTAGCTGGCGGTTATGACCTGGCCATAATGCCGGCCATTTCATGATGACTCGAGGCGGAAAATAACCAAGCTCAACAGATAATGGGGAAATGGAAAGCTGGAGGCAAGACCCGCACCCTTGGACCGTATTTGCAGAGGGAAGGCATCCGGGAATCGGATTCCGCAAACTTTAGAAAACACTTGCGAAATCGTCGATGCTTCTCGCATGTCCAGAGGATTGCTTCTTGCAGACCTTGTCCCATTTTGTTTTTCGATTCCGGTCACGAAGTTCTGTCAATGCACTGCTAAGGGGACTCGGGAGGGGAGATGAGGAAAAACAAAGCAAGCTTCCGCCTCTCTCATCTTCCTCCTCCTCCAAATCTCTCATACACTTGTCTCGAGATGGACATACACGTGACTGATGGCCCTCATGCCTTCTTCCTCTTCGCGAGAAGCTGGGAGAGCTGTAAAGTGGGGCAACGAGTTTCTCTGACATAATCGAGACTGACTCATTCTGTGTTCATCCTTCGTAGGAATACTCGGAATTCTATCACGTGACAGTCTGAACTTTTCCCAACAGATAAATTCCGATAGGAATCTTTTTCTGCCTGTTGTCATTGAAAAATCATGTCAGCTTTCTTGCTATGCATGCGCTAAACAGATTCCAGAGGCGGAGTCACGCATAGAATAAAATTTCAGGGAAAATACTTTTGGACATTTCGACTTGGACGGACAGTGACCAGGAACGCATTCTTAAAAGATTGGTCAGAGCAGAGAATTTAATGCCTTTTAATTCTTGTGACGCATATTATAGTGGTATTCCTCGGCACAATGAGCTAATTTCATGCCAAATAAACCTCCTCCATATTTTTAACTTTGACCACTGTCTCATGCCACATCAGGCGCAATACCAAATATTTCATCTCAGTTTGGGTGACAAGAGTTCTTTCCGGAAAATCCCTTCGCGCCTTCCATGACAAACCACTAGCTTTAAAAACATTCACGTCATTGGGGACTACATGACGCTTCTTAATCCAGAAACCGAAAGAAGGGAACGCGGAGATGAAGCGAGGAAGTACGAACCACCTACAAGCCAGGATACGAACTCCTGAAGGTGGTGGATATTTGAAGGGGAGGCCGTCGCTTGAGGGAGTCAGTAGCCGGTCGGCAGGGATGGGATGTGGAACTCCTCCCTCTCGTTCCCTTCCCCCCCTCTCTGCAGGCTGAAAATGAGCCTGGGTGGAGCTCTCTTCCGGTTCCATCAACTGCCTCTTTCCTGCATTGTTCCCGGCCTTGTTCCATAAATGACGCTATCCCGTCATCAATCGATGCTATCTTCATCATCCGTGACCAGTGCCTGGTGTCCTTTTTGCGGTTGACCACCTGCCTCCGGGATCACCTACGTCTATATAGGTACGCTGAATCGTCTTGTCAAAACGTCTGTGTTCTCGGCGTGAAGCTTCCCCGAGTTGTCCTAAGCGGAACTACGGTGTGAGAGGCGTATCGGTATTGTTCTGTTTTAAGAGAGCCTTATCAAAAGGAGTTCCCGTGCTCTTGATTCCGACGATAAAGCGACGAAATCAAAGGCAGAGGAAAAACTTGAGAAGGGGAACACCATGAAACAGAAGCCGAAGTAAGGGAACTTATTAGATATGACTCTCGTTCCGCACGTGAATCACAGGGCATTTCCATTCACAGATAGACAGAATGACGGCATCTGGACGTCACGTGGTGTTGCTATAAATCCCCTGTCTCCTGATGAATATTCTTTCACGTCATGTTAGCATTGCACGGGCTTCGGTCAAGTCGACCTTTGCGAGATGCGAATAGCAAATGCAGGCCAGACCTGTCCCCCTTGATATGCCGTTTCAAAAGGCAGCATTTGCAAGTGTAATGTGCGCAATCGCTTGGCAAGTGATGACTTGGGTGAAAATCCCCGTCGTGAAGGTGCATCCATCAGATCCTTCCGTGAATATTCTCCGCGATGAGTCACGCGGATACACGAACTTCGTGAGCGCGAAAACCTATTATGGCTCGGCAATCTGCTTATAAACACGTGATTTAATCTCCTCCTCCGGTTCTTAAAACGAGATCATATGCCTCCTCCTTCGAGAGGGAAAGGTGTGTCACAATCTACCTGTTGGAAGACCCATTCCGATGGGACGCAATCGATTGACGGTCGAGCTATCAATCATAAGAGAGACTTGGGCTTTTCCCCTCTGGCGATGAATGAGACGACAAAAAAGAGTGCTCGTGTCTGCTTGTGCAATGCTCTCTTGACATCCGAAACCTGTGAAAACAAGGGCTGCCTTATTCACGGAGTGTGAGAAAGACTCTGACGAGGCTGGGATCCGTCCGTTTCTACGCGTGATTCATTCCTCACTTGTGACATCACGCTCGGCTTCTCCTCCGGTAATAAATCTTCTGAGATAACGAAGGAGATACCAGAATGTCTTAATTGTCCAAGATAGGTGTGGACTTTAAAAGAATGCAACGGAATGGCGGGGAAAGAAGCCACTTGTCCTTGTTCCCCCCACCTGACAAGAGTCATTGTAAAAGTGAGAGGGAGAGAGCTACCCCCGAGGCTGAACCCTCAATGATGCAACTGTCTCATGGATAGAGACACACACCTGGATCAAATACAACAGCGATAATGATGACGATGCAAAGAAGGTGTGGTCTTCTGTTTTGAGCCCACATCTCGACCTTGCCTTCGATGTATCGAAAGCGTCAATCAATGTTCTCGTCTTGGCCAGGTTCCTGCATGCATGACGGGAATTATTCATGTTCCCAAACTTCACTACTTCACCACATGCTTCTCTTTTCCTTTTGCTTTATTCCTGCTTGTTCTCGATCGCCGAGTATGATAAGCGCCTGTATCAAGTAGCCTCTGGTCATTCTCGTCCCTGAGACCTTGGCATAGCTGTTGAAAGTAGTCTTTAGCCCCGCCCGAAAGAGCTCCATAAGTCTGCTTTACGAGTGTTGCTGTTGCGCCTCATCATCGGCTGGGCTCAGTCACTACAATGTTCGGGTGTGTTTCTTCTTGCTGTGAGAGAAGGCCGAGATGAAAGCCGGTTTGATGGAAATCCTTCCCTTGTATGGGATTGAAAGAGGAGGAGGATGCCTGAAGCAATTTAAAAAAAAGCGTGTTCAATCTTCAGAGATATTTCCATAAAGCGTGACCGCCTGACAAAAATTCCCTTCCCCGCCCAACGCGATAATGTGTCTTCGAGACACCTCCGCATGCGACCCCCTTCTACTCTCAGGCTTTGACCCCCAACTAATAAGAGTCGAGACAACGAGAGGCAAAGAAAGAAGGTTCCATCTCCGATTCACAAGGCCGAAGATGTGGAAATCCATGTATCTTACGGCTACTCGTGTTCCGGTCGAGCGGTCATAGCCAAAGGCCTTTGCTCGGACAACACAATTGTCAAATGCATTGCTCAGTATGGACATCATCATTGATATCGACCTTGGAGGCCATCAAGGTGACATTGGTTGCAGTATCGAGACATCAGATATCCCGATGTATAATTAGGCAGCCTTGGTGCATGATGACTCGGCTGGTAAAGTCTCAGCATGGACTTAATTAGCTAGCCATTTTAGAGCACCGGATGGTCGTGGTTTTGGCTCGGACTCAAAACGGGATATAGAAAGAAGGAATGGCTTTATATAGGCACTCACTAGGAGATTCATGCACGGACACGTGTTACCCCAGAGTCATGAATAATTATTGGGGAAACAAGGAGAAGAGATCCCTGGAAACTATACTTGGCTCCTTGCCGCAGCTCTCTCAATGAGGCTTAAGTTTGAACTCGAAAATTTTCAAGGTTTAGATAAGGTTCACTCAACGGGATCCACTTCCTCGACAACCTGCTTGTTTCTAACCGGAGCAATATATCCTTCGATTTCCTGTTTCTTTTTTATGCGTCACACAACCATAACTTTGATGGACTCACAGATACATGAGATGTGCCTGCCTTCTTACTTGTGAATGGTTCGCTTATCCCCAACCTCATAAAAGCCCTCAAGGACACTGATAATTAATGCAAGCAGTCGGCGTCACCTCTACTATACGACCGTGCCATTTGTACAGAGATGGGATGCAAGGAATAAAACTTTACGACGGCTCTTCCTGACAAATGCTAAGCAATCAGGTCAAGGTCAGGGGCAAACGCAAAAGACAATGGACAGCTCCATAATTTACTACGGAATCGAGAAGAGCAGGGACGTGTTCGCGGAATGAGGGGCAATACAACTGGCACTTACACCCTTGCATCATCTCGAAATTTAAGCACGGATGATCATTAACAGATCCATTGTCAGGAGTTTGGAGATTAATCGTTCCAAGTCAATTAACCTCAGTGCATGGTCAAACGCTCTTCTCTTTCCCCCTGCTACGCTTTCTAAATCCCTGACAACGAGGTCGTCAAACCGTATTCCCTTATCAAGCTTTCTATTCCGTGCCAAGTTCGGCCCCTGACTCTTTTTTTGGAAGACAAAGCGGAAAATTCTTTCGTTCCCTGCAGCACGAAACCGCAGCTTTCTGCGACCCAGTTCCTGGAAGGGTTATCAACCCGCTAGTAAAAATATCCCAAAGGTTTCTGCATATAATGGCATGTGCAAGAGCAAATCTGTGCGAACGAATCAGTAAAAATGTCACACACTTCATAGCGAGGCGATAGGGGGAAAGTGTGGTCTGGGTATATGAGAAATTTCATTATCTGGGGTGACTCTGCAACGAAGTGGGTTGATATTGTCGTGGGCGAAGGTGAACCGCAACGCGTCATTATTCCATCTTCGTGATTCGAGAGGGAAAAATTGCCTCCACTCTGACTTGCTTGGGTTGATAGTGAAATATCTGGGAGAGAGCGCTCTGATAAGGCTGCAGGAAGAGAGAGAGATGCATTTGCCGGGGCGTATGTGTGTGCTGTAACTGTGCTCTTCTCTTCCGCCATCGGTTATCTGGGAAAAGTAAATACCAGAATTTAGAAGGTTACTGGAGGGAGGAAAAAAAATGCGTGGCCAAATGGATCCGTCCTCGAACGAAGTGAAGAGAAATCTCCCATCTTGTGCCAGGTGAGGATGGAGAATTCGACGGATACCTACAGGAGTGTGGCCCTTTTGTCCCTGGCCAGCCACGCCCTTACATTAAAGCTCAGTCATGAAGAGCAGAAACACCACCTCTACGATTCGTTGACGATGGCAACGGAGGGAATCTTCGGTGGGATCATCCTAGACTCCATGGAAAAAGGAGGTAAGATATTCATTCTTCTCACTCGGGGATTTCCTGGAATGTCGAAAACGGCTTCCTTTGCCCCAATTCCCATCCGCTTCCGGAGATAGACACACAAATGTGAGGTCTTGCCCCGTATATCCTAGCACGACTCACCCCATACCTGTACTTGTGGAAGTAGACTGCATCCGGCTCAGTTAATCCGATAAAATTATAATGTGTCCAGACCGATAATTCTGCCCTGACTGCCCTATCCATCAAGGTACGGATGAAGGCCTTCTGAACTGCCGACATCGTCCCTCATTACAGGAAATTACAGACAATGAGGGGGAGATATTGCGACTTCGCTTGACCAAACCTTTGCATGGAACACGCGATTCCGACATGACTATTTCCTCAGCAGATATATTGACCCATCTTCGTTTGACTAGACGGATCTGCGTCACGAGATGGGGGGGAAAAAAACCGTAGTGGTGAATGGCAGATGGATTGGGCAGTGCTTGACCTTGACTGCAAGAGAAGAAAAAAGGGAAGAGCCAGAGGAAATATTTGAGGGTGCGGCTGGCTAAACCTTCGCCAACGCAGATTTTCCTCTCTTCTCTGCAATTAGCATGATGGATGAGAGATTCAAGCTTTAAGAAAGTTCAGGAAATCTCCGGGTTACAACGTAGGGTCTTTTTCCCTTTCCTTCCGTGTTCCCCCTTTCGTGCATTTATCATTACACATCCTTCGTTACGCCTTATTGGAAGGCGACAGAAAGTGAAAAATTATCCCATATAATTTTTTTTTCCGTAAGATAATTATCCCAAATAATTTTTGCCGTAGGGTAATTATCCCAAATAATTTTTGCCGTAGGGTAATTATCCCCTAGAATTTTTGTCGTGGGATAATTTGTCGTACAAAATAGTCCATCAGAACGAATTTTCATCGGATGGATCAGATAACATCAAGTATTTCTCTTCAGCTATGAACTCGTGAAAATTGTTTGTGTTCGTTTTTAGTGCTGTATCCGTTGGTGCACATGACATCGTCGCCTTTAGCGGCCACGCCTTCACGGGTTTGCAACGCCTCCACATTCTCGAATGAAACCATCTCCATCCAGCAAGGTGATTGACCCGTCATTCCATCATGCCAAGACAGTAATACAAGATACACATTGCGCATTCTTATGGGCATGCACGGTAAAGGAAGGGATACACCCGAGCACGACTATCATTCATGATGCATAGAGAACCGCGAGTGGTGGTCTCCGTAATTGGCTGCACGCCTACGGATTCCTCGGAAAATTATTTAGCACGTTTCCTTTTTTGTTTTTCTTATACTGCCTTCTGGCTATGGATTTCTGAGAATTCTTATGCCATGAATCATCCTCTGGGGTTGTTTATAGAAACATTTTTTAAATGTAATTCTTAATTAAAAAGAGCTTGTCTCACGGTACATGATCTGCAGTGATGGACAACTTACTTGGCTATGCAACGAACATCCGCTATGCAAATGCCAACACTACTGTATATCCATTCAAATTACGAGATAACAATCATATGTTTCAAGTACATTTATCGGTTACCTCCCACTCTCGTTCGTAAGCTTCATTTTCATCTTCATGTGTTCTTTACGAGAGCAAGACAAAGGGGGGTATTCATGAAAACCTAAGGATGGATGCCGACAGTGGAACTTTCTATTCAGAATTCTGGTGCCAACGTTTCCAATTTTGGATTATATTATGTAACAGATTAAAGGACAAAATTACATTTCATGCCCAATTATCGCATTTGCAGTACAATACTGCCACACAATCACAAAATACAATAGAATTGAGGTGATAGGTATACAATTACAGCACATTTCAGTTACTTGATTTATTTGCATCTGTTCTCATGATTCATCGATAGGTTTGTATGGGGAACTGGACGAGATAAAAGTGGAACTCCGTCTTGTAGACCAAGCACCACCCCCAGAGAATCAAGCGTCGATCCTCATGGGCTTCCACGACCTGTCGAGCCCCTCATTCGGATGCATGATGGAAAGCCGCTGGAAGCAGTGGACAGGTGCCCGTAACATGTACTTGAACCTGTCGGACGATTTCTGCCTAGACACCATCCGATTCTACCGGCGAGTGGGGACGGGAAGTGAGCCGAGTTTCCGGTACCTCGTCGTCGCCACGTGCGACAACGTCCATCGGGGGAACTTAGATCGAATGATGGACTTCGTTCACCGCCTGCGGATCAACCAGTTGGGTTCGTATGTGAGCATCTACCGTCGCCTGGCACCGGGTTGGTCCCCAAGCACCAGCTGGGAAAGTTTCACATCCCTCTCCCCAGTTGCAAGCCGGCAGAGCCCGCCCTTCAATCATCATCTCAGTGACTCCGGTCGAGACTCCCTGGACTCCTTCACCAGGGAGCACGGAATCTGAGAATCTCTCTCCTTCTCATTTCGGCGTCTCTGTGTCTTTAACTGCAGATTAGCAAACCCGATTCCTCACTTCCCGGTGAAAAGGCGGCTTCCCTTCGCCCACAGTCGTCTGCATTAATGCCTTCGAACGATTTTCTGTATTCTCTTTCGAACATAATCGGTTCAAGGATTTTCCCCCCCAACCTGATCCGGGACATACCTACTTTATACGTAAACACTTATCAGCTTCCTATCGACATGCGAGCACCATTTATTTGATCATTTTCCTTAGAGGACCTTGTGTACTCAGTTTCTGTTGTGTTTCTAGCAAGGATGGCTGACACCGGTGCTCTCTCTACCCTCACTGAATCTTTAGTATTCATGTGATTTCTTTTCCACATTGAGGGCTTGTTTGTGATATGTTTTTTTATTATAAAATTCATCTCTGGCATTTATGTGAATAATAAATAGGCCTAAAGGCTATGTACTCACAAAAATCCTGCCTCTCCGATTGCCTGAAAATTTAGGTACAATATAGGCAGTATCAAAAGGAGAATCCTGTAACTAGCTAGCATAAATTGCTGTACCTGGAGAGAGTACGAAACAGACATGTTAAATCCAGAGTTCTAGACCTAAAAAAAATCCATGATTTGCAGAAACCCAAAAATTACACGATGTTCAAATGCTAATTTTTTGTTTCATTTTGTGATGATTAAGCAGCAATTTTTAAAGAAGCATCAATGCAAGCACAAAAATATATGCTATTGCATTTTTTCTTGCTAGAACATGAAACGAAAACTTCAAATAAAAAAACAACTGCAAATTTGAATTTGTTTCTTTGTTAGGAAGTACTCACAAGTGGGAAAGAATCGAAGTAACAAGACATTCAGGATATTGTTGCAGCAATAATACGTGGCAATTGCGGTGACACTTTATATGGCAAGCTTTTTTTCCGAGAGGGTTTGACTTTTAATTGCTTTTTGTGAGGTTACTAATCCATTGACAACTTCTCGGCAACATCAACATCGTCATGTTTCCTCGCTGTAAGGTAAATAGTTTTCCCAATTCTGAGCACTGAATACGTAGGTCTATGCAGAAGCGGTAATAACTCTTATTTATATAGTCTTTGATATTGCCTTACATGTGTTTTATGATAATTAGCGGTATATGGAAGATGGCAGGATTATAATAGAGTTTTCTTGAACATAGTTCAATTATTAAAACCAGCAACTCAAAATCGTAGATCAGGAACAGGCTGCATTTCGATAGTTTTCCTGTTTGTCATTGAAACGTGGGTTAAAGGCCTTTCAGTTGTCGCTATGGCTCAACTGGAGCATCGCCATACGCAAGAAGAAGAACTGGAACATTAATTACCATACACGGAACCCTATTGATTCGCTCTTTCGACAACATTTCAAAATATTTTCAGAAAGTGTCAGGTAAAAAATGTTTTTTTACTTCATGATTTAGCGCATCGCGTTTGACTGAGTACTAATGAATCGCGAGTTCTCAACGTCACAGTTGAGATTGCCACCCTCACTAGATCTTGTAAAGTATGAAAGAGGAGAGGTAAAAACTATTTCTTAGCAGCGTTAGATACATTGGCCTATAAGTATTACTTGGAGGTCAGTGGCGTTTCTGCTATGTAGTTGAGAGCGCATTGAAAATTGTTGAAAATGACAAGACGAAGCTGGAGTATCGAGCTGTTACGAAGTTCCTTACAAAAGAAGGGATTTCACCACAAGAAGTCTTTGAGCGTTTGAGAAACGTGTATGGCGAATGTTCTCCTTCCTATTACCAAGTAAAATTTTGGTGCAAGCAGTTCTAGTGGGAGAGGGAATCTTTAGAGGATGACCCTCGATCAGGTCGTCCAGCAGATGCCTCAAATGACGAAATGTGCGAGAAAGTCCTTTGTTTAGTGATGGAGAACCGACTTGTGAAGGTGTCGCCACTGTCAAGAGATTGTGGAATCTCAGAAGAAAGAGTGCTGCATATTCTCCACGAAAAGCTGGGCATGAGAAAGGTCAGTTCGAGATGGGTTCCAAGAATGCTGGGCGACCTGATCGAGGGTCATCCTCTAAAGACTCCCTCCCCCACTTGAACTATTTGCACCAAAATTTTACTCAGTAATACGAAGGAGAACATTTACCATACACGTTTCTCAAACGCTCAAAGACATCTTTTGGTGAAATCCCTTCCTTTGTAAGGAACTTCGTAACAGCTCGATACTCCAGCTTCGTCTTGTCCATTTCAACAATTTTCTCAACTACATAGCAGAAACGCCACTGACTTATTACTCCCTCCGAGTAATACCTATAGGCCAATGTATCTAACGCTGCTAAGAAATAGTTTTTACTTCTCCTCTTTCATACTCAGGTAGATAACTTTTCAAGTGGCCCTCGTACTTTTGCCCATGACCATATGTAACAGTACTTTTCAGTTATCAAGTGATCTGTACTATACTCGATCCGATACTGTCGTAACAGAGAATAAGGACCAGAGGAGGGGGTACCAGAAGCCGCTCATGCCCAACGAGCGAGAGCTTATTGTAGAATTGGGTATAAGAGACCTTACAGAAAAATCCTAGAGGATCCTATGCAATTTTTTAAACATCTTATAGGATTCCTATAATATTTTTTTTTGTTTAAAAAATTTTCGTAGGATCCTATAGGATCTTTTCGTAAGGGAGATTCTTGACCTGATGGGGAAAAAGACCTACACTACCAGGAAGGGCTTTCACAAAGGAAAATAATATTTAGTGATTTCTATCCGGCAATTATTGATTTCCTGGGATCTGTCTCGAATAAAGAGCTACCTCCTTCCGGAGGAGAAAGGAAACAATGTCACTGGATCACTCACTGGTTTGAGTTTGACGTGTAATAGGGGAGGGTGGTTACAAGGGTTCGGAATAAAGTCTACGACTCGAGCGATCGCTTTTGTACCAGCAAGTGAAAGCATGGCAAAATATCACTAAGAAACAATCAACGCAATCATTTCGATTCAGAATAGTAAGAATCATTCATCAGCCTGACTGTTAACGAAATCCAACAATGCACAATGCCGTTCAAGGTTCAAGGTTCCAAAGAGAAAATGTACGTCGTGACAGTTGTGTCGAGAAGGTTGGACGACGAAGATAGGATAGAGAGAATTGCTTGTATCTGGCTGGATGCTAAGAGTTGTTTCTATGGCTCCCTCAACAGGTCCGCTGCGTGGGAGACCCTATGGACTCTCCGACTGACAAGGACGACATGGACGTCACGTGTCAGGGGAGCAAACTCGAGGCCTCGCTCGGAAAATACAGGACCAGGAAACGGGCTCTGGGTTCGTTCAATATCTACAAGACTCGGAAAACTCCTACCCAACTTTCAAAGATCGGGGAAATGTCATCTAACCGACACAATAACACTATTATGACCTAAGTAAAGATTGGCAAAGTCAGTCAAAGAAATCACCTATAAGAAGGAAGAATCAAGTATCCAAGAGCGATCACTACATACTATATGCACAGATCGAATGGGAGGGTTAGGCAAAATCCGGGCATTGTTTAGGAAGAAACCAGACGAGGTCAGACGGCGACAGCGGCAGTGAAAGAGTGAAAGGAGTTTTGATTGCTGTCATAGCAGGTGAGAGGGGTGAAACGAAGAAAAGGAGCAATTGAAAAAGCATGTATGACAAGCGTCCTCGCGTAATAAAAATCGCTTGACCCTGACGGCAAGCACTTGCTAACGATTGTTTTACAGGCGCGGGAAGGTGTCAACTCACAACTAGCGAAGGGAGTGGGAGGACTTGAGCACCTCAAAGGATTCCTTTCCCACACATCTTCCGTTCCACTCCACGGAATTAAACAGCAAGCTAATGGTTACACGATCGTGTAACCACGTTACGTCGTGAATCGCTGCAGAGGCCGTGCAGTTAAGCCACTTTCCGTCCTCACCGTAACATCATCGCCTCGAGTATTTCGCGCGTTGGAATTCAATTCAGAGGTAGAAATTTCAGGCGGATGTGCATATGAGATAGTGTGGGGTAAGTGATACTCTTCAAATTACTGGATTCGCACGTTCTGATGGGAATCAAGTCGCTTTCCTTTCTCGTACTTTTTTCCCAGGTCATTTTCTCAAGAGGCGGAAGCATGAAAGTCCCGCAAAGTCAGTACCCATGATTAGGAAAGGGGGAGGACTAACTCAGTTCTACTTCGTAATTCAATAAAAAAAAAAAATTATTCTTCCTTGACTTGTAAAGAAAAGGTCACATGACGCTCGTGTAGCATAGGGTAACATGGGGGAATATGGCCCTTCACAATGGATCCCCTTACAGACTGAATAGTTATTTTGGGCGAAATTTTAAAATAGTTCTATCGGAGAGTTTATGCAATTTCCGAAAAGTTATTACCTATTCATTGATTCAGTGCTCACAGTAATTCGGGATAAATCAATTTTTTGTGAGTCATGTGCATGCGATTGTTCCTCTCATGACACTAACTAGAGTTAACTAATTAGAGAAACTAACACGAGCCTTGAGCAACTTAAGCGCGTATTACCTAATAGCAATATGGATACAGAAACCATTCTTTCCAAGTTATTCTATGGTCCCTCCACAATATTTGTGGATTTGCGTCTTCACCTGCGGCTTGCGGGTAGTGTTGTCAATGTTGTGGGAGCCAACATGGGGGGAGTATGGCCATGTCGATTAGGGGTAATATGGACACATCCTTGATTTCACCGCACTGACCTATCGGCAGTGTTAGATTCCTTTTATGTGGGACCTCAGGCAGCAAGTGATCATCCAATACTCATGTTCTGGCTATACGCTGCGGACGTAAGGAGATGCACTGGAAATCCGCACATATGCAGCAGATATCCTCATGCAACGCTTCCTGGACATCAGCTGGATATACTTCACAGATTTTCGTGGCCCGAAATTTGAACGCAGGTAAATATTCCTCATACAAAAATTGAAAATGTCTTCCTGTGATTTAAAAAAAGTACGATTTATGTATGCAAATTGCTACGCTACATTTTCACCGCACAATAGGACCTACTCTAGGTTCACACTCGTATTGCATGTTAACGTCGATCCATGCATGATCTCTAACACCAACAGTCTATAAATACGATCTCCCAATCACGTTCAATGCTACTCATAGCCAAAAGCGTTGAATTCCTGCTTTTAATAGCAACTCCTGGAGTCTGATAATGATGTCGACTTCTTTCCTTGTCCTCAATGCAGTCAATACTGTAGCTTTCAACTGCAGAGCCACGATTGTTTGTTTCAATGTACTCAACATGTTAAAGTATATTTCACACGTACCTTAAAAACCTTAGGTTGTTTTGTAAGAAGTGGCCATATTACCCCTAATGCCTGGCCATATTTCCCCGAACATGGGTAATATGGCCTCTGGGGACCAACTTGGAAAGGATCCAAATGCGCAATATCAGTGTTTTTTTTTTTCTGTGCCTTTCAGGGATTGATTAAAGGAGATATCAATCAATATTTAAGAAAAATTGGCGAATTCAAATTCTATCTTGATGGGCCGTCAAGGCTAGGTTTAAATTTTTAGGGTTATATCCCCCCAAATTACCCTATACAGTAATAGGAACGTAATCTGCTGAGGCAACCCGAGGTCACCTTAGAAAGTAAAAACAGAATGAGTCCTGCTTTAGGAGCAAGAATCATGCTCCTAAAGCTCATTTGCAGGTAGACGTGGTTTGGTGTGGATCATCT